CATATCTTGCCCTGTCCGACGTCTCCCTTCACCCACTTTTCGGTTGTCTGTCCCCCAGGGAGGAGGTCACATATAGTTCCTTGTGCCATCATCATTTTAAAAACCTTTTTCTTTCTACTTGAGCCCTTTCTATCAGCTCCTCATCCCCCACCCACCCTCCCTCCCTCATGAACCCTTGATAATTAAAAAAAATTTTCATGTCTTATACCAACTGCTGCCTCCCTTCACCCACTTTTCTGTTGTCCATCGCCCTGGGAGAGGGTTATATGTAGGTCATTGTGATTGGTTCCCCCACCCCCACCCCCACCTTCCCGTTACTCTTCTGGTATCACTACTCTCGATAGTGGTCCTGAGTAGTTTATCGGTTCTGGATTCCCTAAGAGCTCCATCAAACTGTAGCCTTCAATACTGGAATCCATTCAGATCAACGTTCTCAGCAGAGAGGATCGGACCGTGTATAACAACTTTGACTCAGAGGAGATTGAGAATATCCAATTTAGGAGAGGGAGGAGAAGGAATGGAGAGCCTGTGGGATGCCACTGGGCAATTTTCTCCTTTCTCAGCCCACAAGACTTATTGTTGTGACCTGCCATGCAGTAGGCCCAACTCGCTAAGTCGGGGGCTGCATAAGGAAATGAAGTTGGCCCCATAATTTCTGGGGGTGTGAATCGCTGTGACCCAGAGATTTTCAATGACTGGTTTTCAGAAGTAGATGTCTAGGCCCTTCTTCCTAGTCAGTCTTGGTCTGAAAGCAACCCCCAACTCTGTTCAGCATCGTAGCATCATGCGTACTACCTCCAAGACAGCGGTCGTGCTTGGCTTTGAGTCCACTGGCTGGGAAATGAACCTGGCTCTCCCAATACCCAAGGTGGAAATTCTGTCATCCGTGCTCATGCCCACGGCTAGCAAACAAAACAAGTCCTTATAAGAGAGTAGAGCTGCCTCCATGGGTTCCCAAGACTGTAACTCTTCACAGGAGTAGAAAGCTTCATCTTTGCCCCATTATCTGCAGCTGGTGACTTTGAACTGGTCTTCGCAGGCCAACTCGTAAGCCTTGATGCCACTCGGGCACCATTACATGTTAGCGGCTTTGTTTATTTCTCACCTTGGCAATTTTCTTTTCTCTCTGGACCTGCACCCCTTCCATCTATAAATCAAGCGGCTCTAGCTTTTTTTATTTTATTAAAAGAGCATTTTATTGGTGGTTCTTACAACTCATATCACAATCCATAAACCGATTGCACCAGGCACACCCTCCAGACATTTACCCTCCACTGAGCCATTGGTATCAGCTCCTCCCTTCTCCATCCATCCCCACACCCACCCTGTGACCCCTTGATAGATTTTAAAGTATTATTTTCTTTTGTGTGTGTGATTATTTGACGTGAACTTGTTTGTCGCAAGACTCCAAGTCCATTTCAGTTTAACTTTCCTCCTTTTTTCTTTAAGCCACTCAGAACACTTTAGGTTTGAGGGCTAAGGAATCCGGAGAGGGGCTCTACCTTTATGATCATCAGAGTCCTACTGTCCATGTCTAAATCCCTACTGTGGGCCCTCGACTCTATGCTCCTTAATTCTGTTGGAGAACCCTTACTTTTACTTTGCTCTTTAGAGATGCATGTTTACCTAGAAATCTTACTAACAGGTCTGCCAGGAATATGTTGATGATGAAAGATCTTTGTGTTTTCTAGAAATCAAGTCAAGCTAATGAAGTTGTGAAGCGATGTCCCTGGTAACTACTGGCCCCAAACTTGGTGGATTCCAAAGCTGCAGAGTTTACAACGGAACCGAGCAAACTGCTTTCGACCCCACACATTGTAACCCATCCTCACCCTCAGGTTTATCAATCAAAGTCCTTGGATTTGGAACAGCCAGAAGGAAACGTTCAGTAATAGAAACGCTCTGTCCTTCACCGCAAACCTGAAGACAAGAACTTAACTTTATACTAAGTTCCAGAATAAGCTTCAATATAGTTTGACAGGAAATAATCACTAACTTCCCCTCTCTCGTATTAATCTCACACGATGTAAAAGGTGATTCAGAGCTTTGGGTTCTCGGAGAGCCGGGGTCAAAGGCCTTTACTTTGTCTCACTATTCTCCATGGAACCACTTAGACGCATTTCCTCTCATTCCCATAGAAGGCATTCTGAGGCTGAGGTGTTATGCGTTGAGCGGTGATCCTTATGATCTGCGGTTTGAAAACACCAGCCGCTCTGCGTGAGAAAGACTGGGCTTTCTCCTCCCGTGAATAGTCAGAAACCCACAGGAGAGTCACTCAGAGTCAGCATTGGAAGTTCAAGGGGAGCTTAGAAGGTGCTTAGAAGGTTCCTCCAGAACCCTGCGAGAGAGCAACGGTTATCAGAGCTGAGATTCCAAGGTCCTCAGTCTCTCACCTGGGATGCCAGTATTCTCTTCTGTGACATCCAGGCGCGCGCAACGCCACCTAGCAGAGCAGGAGCCCCTCAGCCTCTCACCTGGGATGCCAGTATTCCCTTCTGTGACGTCCAGGCGCGCGCAACGCCACCTAGCGGAGCAGGAGCCGCTCAGCCTCTCACCTGGGCCGCCAGTATTCCCTT